GACCAGCGTTGACTTGGTCGTCTCTCAGGGGTCAGTTAGACTCAGTGTTGCATTAATATTGGTAGTTCGGGGAGCAAGGGGAGCAGGAGTTCAGAGAGTTGTCGGGCAGCAACTAGTGAGATCATCAGCAAGTTTAGCCAGTGCAGGTGAGTTTCCCTTTGTGTGAATGGGTTTAAGGCCACAATGCTGGCCCATGTAGTTATGAGTAGAAGGCCCGGGGGTTAGCCCTAGGCACAGTATGCTAGTATGATATTCAGGACAAGGTCTATTAATAGCGGGCGGGTGCCCAAGGAGTTGTTTATATGATAGTTTATACTTGTTGTCTGTGTGATACATGTATGTGCCGGGTAGGGAGGTGAGTGTGGGCAAGGTCCCGTATCTCACCAATAGTAGAGTGTGGATGGGGTTCCACATCTCATTAGTAGCAGAGCATGGGTGAGACCCAAGTTAGGGAAGGAGTGAGATTAGGTTGGGCCCGTATCTCTCTACCAGTAGGAGCGTGGACGAGGTTCCATGACTCATCAGTAGCAGGACAAGGGTGAGGCCCAGGATAGGCGAGGCCTTATGATAGGATCAGTCATATGAGTTTAGCTTATGTGTTTTGATATGTTTATGTGTTATTATTTGTTGGAGGGCAAGGCCCTGTGATAGGCAAGGCCTAAGTGAAACAGATATGTATCCGAGCGGGGCTCGAAGCCAGGCGGGGCCGTTGTAGCGGGCGAGGCCCGAGGCAGGGGGCGAGGCCCAAGATAGCGGGTGTGGCCCAGTATGTGCAGTATGTGATTATGCATGGTATGTGGTAGGGTGGGGAACTCACTAAGCTTCATGTTTACGGTTTTCAGTTTTGGTTTCAGGTACTTCCGGTAGCGGAGGGTAGAGCTCGGGGTGATCGCATGGCACACACCATTGATTAGATAGCCTGGGAATGTTTTACTATGATAACAAACATGTGTTTTGGAAATTAATACGTTGTTTATGTATTGGATTGATGATTTTGCTTTAAGTAATGTTTTATTGAAAGAAATTTTTTGTCTTGAATTTTGGGTCGTTATAAAGGGCATCGAGGGTAGAATTTCAGGGTGATGAATGGGTTGGTTTGATGGTAGTTTAATCCATTGTGATGTGTCTCAGGTGGCTCTATCCGTAATAGAGCCACAACATGTCAGAATCAGTAAACGGTAGGTCGAAGGAGACCCGGTATGATGTAAGACTATAGTTATTCTGGTGGTATTCACCTTTTCGCATCGGATTCAGTGGCGACAGGTTGTCAGCCTATCACGATTGGATAAATCAAATGGATTGAAGGAAATAGGGCAATTATGGTTAGATGAGGTATCCTTCGGAGGTCGCAAGGGACTGTAGCGTGTGTTTTTGGCTCAGCATTCGGGTAGGTTTCTAGTGTTACGGACAGTTGACAGACAGGTTGGTACCAGGGAGGTCCCCAATTGTTCTTCAGGAAAGCAGCCATGAGGCAGCAAGAGGAGTAGGAGCGACTTCAGTGATTTGGGATATGTGTGTGGAATTGCTGGTTATTCGGTAGTCGCAGTTGATCAGTGATTTTGTTCTTTAGGAAGCCTCAAGGTATTACGAGTGGGAAGTATTCTATCTAGACTGGTTTCTTGTGAAATCAATTCGATGGTGATTCAATGTGGGCAGTTTGTCAGGGAGACAAACCATCTCGAAACTTCATATTTCAGATGGGGCAGATGTGATAAAGTTGCAAGGAATTCGTTCATCCCCGGGTTCTAGAACCCTATGAGGATTGGTTGTAGTTGCCTTGGGAAGGTTGTGGTATTCACAGGTTTGTGGCGGTGTTTCTTAGGTTGTCTGGTATGATGGGGATGGTGATGCATGATTTTGAGGACGAAATCTAATTTAAGTGGGGGAGAATTGTAACGTTGTGGTACGAATTGATTCCTAGTCTGAGGCTATGGCTTAAAGGTCGGTAATTATAAGGATTATGGCTCATGGGAAGGTATGATCTAGGCCCGTTTGGTGCGGGTCATGTATTAGAAGTGATTCGGGTGTTTGGTTCGTATTTTGGAGCCTAGGGGTATTTCGGTAAAGTGGCAGTCCAGGCTTTTGTGGAAAATGGATTTTGTTTAGAAAGTCTTTAGAAAGGTTTGAGTTGTTAGAAGTTTAAGGCTTCTTTTCACCTTTCCGTGGATATAAGGATCGTCGGAATTGAGCTTATAATGAAGAAGTTATGACCTTCAGAAGTTTCGTGGTTTTTCAGGCTTAGTCGAGTACATGGGGCATACACAAAGTGTACGTGGGGCGTACTAGCGAAGAAGGTATTATGTTGGGCATACCTTGGAGTACGTTGGGCGTACTGACTAGGATGGTCGTGAATGTTCCCCGGAGTACGTTGGGCGTACCATATGTACGCTGGGTGTACTCCAGTCAGATAAGAACCCTATTTTAAGTTCTTAGACCCTATTTAAACTCCTTATCTCATAACCTAACCCTAATATATTTATCCTATACCCCTCTAAACCTTAGAAATCATCATATATCATCCATGGTGGCATTTTGAGCTTATGGAGTCCATTTTTGGGGTGTTTGATCATTTTCAAAAAGAAGGAAATTGATGCAAAGATGGGAATCAAGGAGGAGCTTATGGATCTAGCTTTTAGGACTCATTCTCAACTTGATGAAGGTATAAAGCTTTGAACTTGATCATTCATCTCTTAGATCTACCATTTTTGGGTTTTGGTTCCTTGTTAGTCCCAGGGATGAAGCTTTATGGTTCAAATTCGATTCTTAGACTTGGGGGTTGCCACCCTTGATGATATTTGAGTCCCTAAGATAGAAAGTATCCATCTCGAAGGTCTTAATGGGTTCATGCATGAGTTAGGGTCACTTTTATAGAAGTAGAATGCCATTTTTGGAGTATGGGTTTGTTTGGGGCATGCAAAATCACCAAGTCAGTGACTTTATGGGTTTAGATGTTAAGTATAGCTCAGATCTATGATTTGGACTGGTGTGATCAAGTATCAAGCACATAATGGATTTTGCGCATAAGTTGTTTATATGATGCACGTGTGGTCAATTTTCCCATTACGCTAAGCGTACAGAAGAGCTATGTTGGGTGTACGTTCTCAAGAGGACTTGGGCCTTAGTGGACTTAAGACCTTTGGGCCCTAATGCTTTGGGGCCTGGATTTGCGGTTTGTTGGGTTTGAATGTATCTTGGGCTAATATTGGAATAGTTGGGCCTATGGGGAGTTATGGCCCAATAAAGAAATAGACTTCACAGTTATGGGCCTCAGTTTGGGCCAATTCTTGGAATAGGTTGTTGTGGGCCTTCGTGGGCCAATTAGGTTAGGATTATTGACTAAGGAGAGTATTGGGATTTAGTATAAGGTCCATTAGAAAGGTCTGGGCCCAATTTGGAAAATTTGGCCATTGATGGTTTTATGGACATTATAATGTTGGGCTTTTGTTTTGGGTTTGGGCCTTAGTTTTGGATCATACTGAATTAGGGGTAAAATGGTCATTTTACCCGATGCATGGATTAAGGATTATGGTATGGGACCCAATTGCTAATTAGGTATATTTATTGGTAGTGATAGCTCTGGACGCTGGCGGGGAAGCAGCTAAGGAATTCATGCGGGAAGCTTCTACAATGCGAGGTGAGTCTTCCCACCATACCAATGGGTCTAAGGTACCAAGGTTGGCCCATTTTATGTTATGTGATACACTAGCTGTAGTAGAGATATGTGGTATGATAGTTAGCTTTATGTTAAGTTGTATGCTAGTGATTATATGATATGTGTTATGCTAGTTGTCTTTGTGATACTTGCATGGAAGACCCCGAGGGAGCCTATGGAATTGGATTTAAGACCATGCGGGGTAGCCCATGGCATTCCTAGGTAAATACCATGTGGGGTAGCCTATGACATTGGATGTAAGACCATGTGGGGTAGCCCATGACATTGGATGTAAGACCATGTGGGGTAGCCCATGGCATTCCTAGGTAAAGACCATGTGGGGTAGCCTGTGGCATCCTTACAGGTTTATGTATGCATGGCTTATGTGATATATGTAGCTTTTATAGCTAATATGGTATGTGTTATGTGGATTGTGTGTGGGGTATGCTTTGTGTGACTCGCTAAGCATTGTACTTACGGTTTACAGTTTTGGTTTCAGGTATCATCGATTTGGAAATGAAGAACTTGGATTGATCGCAGTGCACACACCTATGATTTCTGCAATGAGTGATTTTGGGATGAACTCTGATAAATGTTTTACTTAGTGATGATTTGAAATATTTGAAATAAATGGTATCAATATTTTAGCTATATTAAAAATTAAATTTTTACTCTTGATTACTAGGTCGTTACAAATGTTACTCCCTCCAAAATTATACAAGATGTGTTGCCATAACTTTTTCTAAATTATTCTTAAAAAAAAGTAGAAAGAAATATTTAATTTAGATTTTCTCTCTAATCTACATTGAATTGCGGAGTTGCTTGCCATACCACAGTGATGACATGATGTTCCAAAGTGTCGAGTTGTCCACCTAAGCTTGCCGATGAATACCAGACCACTCCTTCTAACCTAATAAGCATTATCCAATACCATGTTTGTACATGCAATTTTAACATGGCGTTATCCGATAACTAATAAAGCAATATTTTAAGTGACAATATCAAGCATAATAATGTTTATTAGTTTTATCCAACAAATGAATTAATGTGGTGAAATCGGTCTCCATGTAGATCCGTGAGAAGCTATGTAGTTATCGCGGTCAAAATTTCAATAGCGGTCACAGGTTGCTATTTGAAATCATGGTTTTCACGGTGCTATAGCGTTTCTTTTAATATTACATATAATTTAATAATTTTATATTATATTTAGAACTAATATCATAAAACCTAAAACGTCTATATAGAATTAATATCATAAAACCAAAAAAGTCATACAAACATAACATAATATTCAAAATTCTAATATAGTAATATAGAAACTACGTAGTGTCAAAGTGTCAAATATAGTTTAATCGCATGGCACAGGTTCAGCATCCGAGCCAACATCATCCAAGGCATTCACTTCTTCATCAAGATCATTCCCCACATCTACAATATCATCATCATCATCTCTATAATGTTCTCCTTTTCTCCTAACATTTGGATGAGCATCTACATTCTTTCCCATTGCTTCTTGCACATCTGACCAAAGAAGGTCATCACCACCATCCACAAAGTCTTGAAGCTCATCTTCCGTTGGTATTGTCCAATCATCATTATCCTCAACATCTCATAGCAAAATAGGATCCAAAGATTTGTTTTGTAAAGACATGAAGCACTTTTGCAACCTTGTGTTGTATTGGATGAAAACAAGTTCATTTAGTTTTTGTTGCAAAAGACAATTTCTTTTCTTATAGTGTAGCTGCAACAAAAGAATTAAAAATATTTTAGTTAATATGTTAGATGTTCCAATCAAACTAATATCATTTATAAATTATAATTATAAGAATACTTGTTAAAAATAGGTAAAAAAAAAAAAAAACTTACATTGTCAAATGTACTCCAATTTCATTCACAAGGTGAAGCACTACAAGTTTGAGTAAGAACACTGATAGCAAACTTTTGTAGGATAGGTGTATCTATCCTAAAAGAACGCCACCATATATCTCCATTTTACAAAAAAAGTTGCTACGTTAATAAAAATTAAGAAATAAAAACATTCGATTAAATTATAGGTTTTATACTTACATTGTGCAACTTTTGTCATAGTCCTTTTAGCAGCTGGAGATCCAAATTGTCCATTTAAATCAATGTAGAGATTCAATTCTTGTCTCAAAGTATCATTTTCATCTTCATCGGGAACAAGGCATTCAATAGCAACATAAAGTCCCGTCATAATCTGTTTATTGGCCTCATATTCCTTTGACTTATCTCCATGAAAAATTGTGGGGTTAAGGAAACACCCAATTGTACATTAAGTTATTCACTAAAACGTTAAAACCAAATAATGGCATACTATTTTAAATTAAATTAAAGAATAATAACTAATAAATAAAAGATTTATACCTGAATGTAAGGGGTGAAGAAGTTGGTCGTTAAATCTTGTTTGAATGATAGACAAAATTCTACGTGTCAGTCTTTTTTGTCATTATTCCCATCATTTAGATTTTTGCTTATTTGATCTTGCGCTCGACTCGTCGCATCATATATGTATCCCATGCACGGTCTTTCTTCTGTGTCAACCAAACGAACAATATCCACTAATGGATATTTGGCAAGCTAAATATACACCATCCCAGAAATATTGCTTTGCTACTATCTTCTCAACTCTATTTCCAGGAGCTTTCTTTGCAAAGTCACTTTTTCTCCATTTCTCAAATACAAACAACACTTGGAGATGGTGTCAATTCTCATGTACACTCTGTAATGAGTAAAACTGGGTAGCAAATCTAGTTACACAAGACCTGTGCAACTCTCTATTCTTTGTCAACTTTCTCATCATATTGAGAATCCTTCCATGGTTATAAATATAAACCACAATAGCTCTTGCTTCAGTCAAATCGGTCGCGATTGTTGCTTCTTTCTTCCTAATATCTTGTACAATAAGGTTCACACAGTGTGCTGCACATGGAGTCCAAAATAATTTTGGATCTTATTCTTCCAAAATCTTTCCTGCAGCTTTGTAGTTTGAACTATTGTCTGTAATGAACTATAAGAAATAAAAATAACCTAATTAATAAAATGTATATAAAATTTTAAAATAAAAGTAATAACTAATAAATAATTAGAAACAAATATTAACTACACAACATTTTCCTCTCCAACTTCTGTTATCACCTCATTTACCTTCTTCACAATATATTCAGCATTATGTATATGCTCCGATGCATCAATCATCTTTAGAAAAACTGTACCAATAGGACAATTGACTAAAAAATTAATCAAAGATCTCTGCTTGTCGTCTGTCCAGAAATCAGACATAATGCTACATCCAAATTTCTGCCATTGTGGTCGAAATGAATCCACAAACTTGTGGGTATCTTCTAACACGTCCTTTAACAATGTCACCCGCATATTATGATAACTTGGAGCCGGAATACCTAACATTTATACAATTAACAAATCTAGAAAATATAAACATTAATATAATTAACAACTTAACATTAATCAAAACAAAAAGGTAAAAAAATTGATTACCTCTTCCATATTCTCCAATGGCATTGATCGCATCTTGGAAACCCTCATCACGTATGGCATTGAAAGGTAACCCTACCGAATAAGCCCAAACTACAATCTTTTTTTAAGCTACCTTCTTCAACTTCTCTTTAATCGGATTATTCTTATCCAATGTAGTTTGCTTTCCTTTTCCATAGTCTGACTTGTAAACATCATCAATAGGACCCCGTACATTACTAGAACTTACAAACTTTCTTTTTTTAACTTGTGGGATATCGTCTTGCTCGTCCTCATCTTCAGAAAGGTCTATACAACTTCTTGATATAAGTATTTAAGTTGTTCTTTTTCTTTCCTTTTTTCTTATCTTTTTCTTTCATTGATTCAAGCACTTTCTTGGTGATCTCCGTAGTCACCTTACTACAAGAAACTACAGTTCCTCCCGTATGAGTGAGGTGGTCTTTTAACCTTGTGATCCCTCCATATACTCTCTTGTCACATAAGGTGCACCAAATATTTTGCTTTTTAATGGATCCTTTTGAATACCCCATTCCCAAGCCATATCTGTATTTCCATTTACACTAGTTGTATTGGCATCCGATCTCGTATTAGTAGGAGTGGTGGTGGGCGGATTCACAAAAGCATGTGAAGAATTCCCTTCCATATTTGCCAATTCACAATTGATTAAACCTGTTTCAAAATCACATATTGACATGTCAATACTCGTTAGTCATTACTCATTATTCATTAATAGGATAACAGCTTAATTTTTTTATGTTCTTATTTCCTAAATCTTAACAGATTGCATCACATGAGTAAACAAACTGACAAACATCAATGGACAGAAAGCATTAGGCTGTTACCTGTATGATTCAAGCACTTCCTTAACAGATTAAAACACATTGATATCCATGTATGATGTAACATAGATGTAAGAAATAGATCTGTGAAATATATCATATATGTAAAACTGTGTGTATAACAGATTAACAATATAAAATCAGAGAATAACATCGTGAGTTCGTGACATCGTGTTGAAACTTGAAAATTGTAAGTGTAAAATACTAAAAGCTACTGAATAAGTGAATATACATGTGGGCTGTGGGTAATTCACAAACTATGTTGAAACTTGAAACTGTAATGCAATGTGTATGTCTTTACTCTCTACTATCTATAAAAGAAAACAATTCAAAGAGGGTTGTGGCTATTACTTATTAGGTTGTTGGAACTTGGAAGCAGATTAAGGGAGAATGGAGTCGAAGTTGTAGAGGTCGATTGAAGGGGGTGAAGACTAAAGACTGAAGAGTGAAGAGTTGAAGACCGAATTCAAGCTTTCGTGGACGATTAATTAAGGAATTAGGACGGACGAAGCAACCTCACAGTCGGAGGTGTGTTCGTCTTCGTCATTCGGCAATCACCATAGCAGCTGCAACTCGAGTCTCAAGCCCTCATCAAGTCACGTTCGCGTTTCTATTGTGAAATTGTAATCAGGTAATTTGTCTTTGAATGATTTTAATTATCCAATTAGGTCATGTATTGGGCTTCTTAAAATGCAGGTATCAGACTCACTAAAACTTGTTTTATATACATTTGATCATTTAACATGTTATATGTGCTCACATATTACCATGCTCACCGGCTATAGCAGGTAACAACGATAATATATGAGCACATTTAACAAGTTAAATGATCAAATGTGTACAAAAAAAGAAAATTTGCATAAATGTGAACAAAACAAAAAATTAATTACCTTGATAAGTCATTTTTCCCACTTTTAATAGCGTTTTTATTTTCCATATTTGTTTGAATTATTTTTTTCAAACATTATTTTTAAAGTATCCATAATGTTATAAATATTAATTAAATATTGATAAGTTCTAAATTTTATTTTTTAATTAATAAATATGTTTTTGTTTTGTGAGATATTGATCAGTTCTAAATTTTACTTTTTCAAAAAAATAAATATGTAACAATAAGTATGGAGAACCTTTTAAAAAAATAAAATGAAAATATTATGTAGGAAATAACAAAAACAAAAAAAATCTATATAATGTAAATGTTTTAAAATTATTACAACTTTTTAATACTAAGCACATTTATTACCCTGAGAAAAATCTATATAATGTTTTAAATGTATACCAAAAGAAAAGTTATATAAATATGGACAAAACGAAAAATTAATTAGTCTAATAAGTCATTTTTCCTACTTTTAATAACAATTTTATTTTCCATATTTGTTTGAATTATTATTTCAAAGGTTATTTTTAAAGTATCCATAATGTTATAAATATTAATTAAATATTGATAAATTCTAAATTTTATTTTTTTAATTAATAAATGAGCTTTTGTTTTGTGAAATATTGATCAATGCTAAATTTTATTTTTAAATAAATTAAATATGTAACAATAAGTATGGAGGATCTTTTAAAAAATAAAATAAAAATACTATGTAGCAAATAAAAAAACAAAAAAATCTATATAATGTAAATTTTTTTAAATTATTATGACTTTTTAATACTTTTTTATTAGAAGTTTATAAAATTTGAATTTTTTAGTATAATGTTTTAAACTAGTATTTAACGAAATTATATTAATATGTTATAAAAAAAGTATTTAATTGTCATATAAAATCTATGAAACACTTTAAAAATGTTATAAACGAGATTTTAGAAATAATTGTATAAATGTTATAAAAAATTATATAAAAAATATAAAAAAATTTGGTTAAAAACATGTAAGAAAATTTAAAACATTTATTAAATATTTGGTTTAAAATCTCGTGTATTAAAATTATATAAAAGTATAAATTTATATAAAAAAAATTATATCTAAAGTTTTAAACATTGTATTAGAAAACCTATAGGAAAAATGTTGTAAGAAATTATATAAACTCTTAAGAAATTTATAAAAAAAAAATTATTCACATCTAAACAACATTCTTGTAAAACCCCGATTTATTTATGAAATAAATAATAAATTAATGAATAAATGGTAACTATGGGGGTTTATTTTGAAAGAAAATGGATTGGAGGGACTAAAGATGGTATTATGGAAAGTAGCTAAGGGGACCGGGTATATAAACTCTTCACCCATTCTTGAACCATAACCCTAAGAAGATATGTTCAGCCGTTACCCCGCTCACCCTTATATCTCCCATCTCTCACGCCAACTCCTTCCGATGCTCCTTAACCGCCACCGACGATCAGATGGAGTCTCGAATGGCGCCGTCTGCTGCCTCTCCATCGAAGAAGCCATCGTGGCTTTGCTGCCGGCGAAGACATGTCTCGCTACTGTTTCATTGTCGGCCCCTCGCACTCCTACAGTTGAAGATGAAGGCGCCGCTAGCCGGTGGTCAATGGTGCTTCAGTCCAAGGTGGTCTCGGCTCATCCTCCTCACCCGTTCTCCTGTTGCTATTTCCTATTCGTGACCACTAGCCACCGTCGTTAGATATCGTTGTAGCCGCCTTCCAGTACCGTTGTCTCCTCCGTACACCACCGCGAGGTGGGTGGTTGTGTTTATCTTCGAGCAAGGACGTGTGGGTGTGGGTGGTATAGTCCTTCCTTCATTGGTGTGGCTGAGTTCGTAGTTCCCAAGCGGGTTTGGATGCTGTTGTATTGTGCTAATTTCCGTGTGTGTGTGGGTTCTGTCGAATGGTTGTTGTGAAGAACCACCATGGCAGCCGGCCATGGTGGCTGCCACCTCAAGGACCGCCATAACAGTTG